AAGGTCAGCAGTTCGAAAAAAACAGTTGTTCCGTGGGAGAAAGATGAGGCTTTTTGCTCCCATAAAGATTTACAGCCTCGGAAACCCTGTACAGGGTCGCTATGAGTTGGAACCGACTCCATGGCACATAACCACCACCACCACCATCCAATTCTGGGGAGTCCTAGTGTGGCACAGTGAGATAATGTGCTAGATGCTAGGCGACAAGATTGGTTTGAACCTGAAGGTCTGTGGTTCAAATTCACCAGCCGCTCCTTGGAAACCCTACGCAGGGTCACTATCAGTTGAAACAACTCAACAGCTCTTAACAAAAACAACATACAGTTCTAAGCAGTCCTGGTGTGGTGCTGTAAGATAAGCACAGGACTGCTAACCACAGGTTGTCAATTCAAACCCACCAGCTGCTCCTCAGAAGCCCTATACAGGGTTACTATAGTTGGAACCAACTTAACAGCACTTAACAACAATATACACTTCTGAAGGAGATTTTTCCATCTCTCTAACCCTTCCCTGCAGTCCTGGTGTGGCACTGTGGATTAATGCGCCAGACTGCAAAGCCGTTTGAATTGTAAGGTCGGTGGGTCAAGCTCACCAGCTGCTCCTCGGAAACCCTATACAGGGTGGCTATGGGTTGGAATCGACTCGATGGCACTTAACAACAACAACAACAACAACCCTTCCCTGGAGTCCTGGTATGGTGCTGTGGGTTAATGCGCCAGATTGCAAAATCAATTTGAACTGCAAGGTTGGTGGTTCAAGCTCACCAGATGCTCCTCAGAAACCTTATACAGGGTCGCTATGGGTCGGAACCAACTCGATGCCACTTACTAACAAATAACAACAACCCTTACCTAGGAGTCCTGGTGTGGATCTGTGGGTTAATGTGCTGGACTGCAAAGTCGGTTTGAATCACAACATTGGTGGTTCAAGCTCACCAGTCACTCCTAGGAAACCCTAAACTGAGTCACTATGGGTCGGAACTGACTCGAGGGCCCTTAACAACAACCCTTCCCTGGGAGTGAGATAGCTCCATATGATAAGCACGGGACTTTGATCCACAAGGTCAGCGGTGTGAGCCCACCAGTCGCACCTCAGGAGAAAGATGAGTCTTTCTGCTCTCACAAAGATTTAAAACTTCAGAAACCCTCTACAGATCGTTAGGAGTCAAAACTGACTCAACAGCACTTAAGAACAATCCTTCCCTGGAGAATTCTGCAGTAAACTATTTACACCACATCAAAATGGCAGTTTGGGCACCCTTGAGCACTCAAATTACGAGTTGTTTGTGTTTGGAGAACAAAAAGAAGTCTGAAAGGGCAAAATCAGGGCTGTAGTGTGACGGTTTCCCAGTGAAATTCTCATAGGACAGTTGTTGCTCCCCTAGGAGAACGAACAGGTGTGTTGTAATGGGGAAAAAATGCCCTCCACCAAACTTTCCTGCCCTTTGTGGCCAACGCAGTTTCCAATCTTCTTAAAACTTCCTGGTAATAAGCTCCCATGATCATCTGGTGTCCTTCAAGAAAATCTCTCATCCAGGTGGTGGGAAGGTGAGGTAGATTACTGGATAAAATAGACTGTCTTAAATGGAGGGAAGAACTAATGGAATATAAGGTAACTACAATGGGGTTGGGGTGGGGAGTTTATTTTGGGTGTTGGGGAGGGCAATACAAGAAAGGGGGAGGAGGCAAGATAGATACGGGAACACTGAGACAGGTTTGCATGGCCTAGTATACATACTCAACCTTGGAACAACAGGGCTCTGGGATACAGGGATCTAGGTATAGCTTGAAGAGGGTAAATAATACTAAAATCCTTGACTGCCTTATGAATATTAGTTTCCCTTGCCTACTGTTGTAAAATAGACACTTGAGTGGGATAGAAAGGAATGTTGGGAAACATGATTAGAGAAAACTTGTAAGCCCGTCTTCAGTCTATAACTGATTGGAATGAAATAGGCCTCATGCAAACCCTTTACAGAGTATAGGACCTTAGGTAGAATCCTGAGTCCCATCCACAACCTTATGAGGTGAGACATTCCCACTAGAAAGGACAAGCAGACTGGAACAGCTACAGTAACAGAAGATACATCTTCATGATGAACCTGACCTATACTCAGAGCGGTAGTTACTCTAAATACCAACAGAGAGGGAAAGAGTCTTCAAATCAAGTATCAATGCTATCTGCTCTGTGCACAGGGTAGATAGGGATGGGCAACTTAGACATTGGCTACCTAAAATGAGGGGGCAATAAAGGCACGAAGTGACTGGCTTACAAGGTTTCAAGAGGGAGCAAAGTTTAAGAGTGTGGGGGGAAAGAAAGAGTCCCCACTGAATAGCTATCATCTTGTCTAGATGAGTCTGGTGAAAGGAGATGTGGGGATAAGATTTGTAAGATTCAATAGTGAATAACTGTTATCATGACTAATCGCGACTGTCACACTTGTAAAGGTAGAAGTTTTGTAACAAAAAAAGGGGAGTGGTTGATCTTACAGTCCAGAAATGGAGGACCCTAGGACCATCAAGAAAGGAGCGCACAAATAGAATGTGGGACCTTATCCAGAGAAGCAGCAGTGCCAGAGATGGAGGCAGAGATGGGGGCATGGAGAGGGGGAGCGGCTGAGGACTCTAGATTCATCATCTAAGAAGAGAAGGACTAAGAGCTGGTGGCCAGGAGCAGACTTGCAGAATGTGCCCTTTGGAGATGTAAATTATTATATATGCCTGAGTGGGTTTTTTGGTTTGTGTGTTTTTTAAAAAAGCTAAAGTGGCTAGAGGGAAATACTTTTAACTGATGGTATTTGGGGGGGGGGGATTATAATCAATGTAATGAAACAAGTTATATGAATTGTTGAATATGAAACTGACGATGTGCCCTGTAAACTTTCACTCAATCCACAATAAAAACCTTAAAAAAAAAAAAAAAGAAAATCTCTCAAGATTGCTCCGTGGAAGTCCCCCAAATCAGTGTCAATATCCTTCTGAATCGCCCTCTCTGCCTTTAATTCAACTGGCTTACAGATCCCCTCAAAGGCACTGTTCTGATTGGATCTTCTTTGGAAGACATGGTAATGAGCACCTTTGATGCAATTTCTGAGGAGCGGCTGGTGGGTTTGAACCACCAACTTTGGGGTGAGCAGCCCAGTGCTTATCCTACAGCGCCTCAGATAAGTGTATCACTGAGAGGAACTCGTCTGCAGTCATGCAGTCGTCTGCAAGGATGTTTTGTTTGTAATAAACCCAAGCATGTTTGAACTGGAATCTTAATAGCAATACTTTTTGACTTACTCTCTTATTCACCACATTAAAAAAGAATGATGGGGAGGCAAAACCAGACTTAAAAGGGTGTGTGTGTGGGGGGGAAACAAGCAGAACCTACTACCCTCCCCCAGCAAGAGAAGCGGTAGGAGGTAGAGATAAAAGAGAGAAGCTGAGGAAAACAGGAAGCTGGGAAAATGAAGCCTCTAGGCCTGCAGGGCTGAGCCCAGGAGAGGGAGGAGGCTGAATCAGTTAAGACTGGAGAGAGAGGGAAGAATCCTGAGTGGACAAAAATAATTAAAAACCCACTGCATAGTGGTTATGACTTGGGCTGCTAACCTCAAGGTCAGCAGTTTGAAACTCCAAAGCATACAACCACCACCGCCATTAAGTCGATTCCGACCCACAGTCAACCCTATAGGGGCACAACTTCTCCTGTCTTACTGGAGTTGTTAAGTACCATGGAGTTGGTTCTGACTCATAGTGACCCTGTACAGGGTTTCTGAGGCTGTAAATCTTTACGGGAGCAGAAAGCCTCATCTTTTCTCCCGCCGAACAGGTGGTAGTTTCGAACTGCTGACCTTTAGGTTAGCAGCCCGATTTGTAACCACTACGCTACCAGAGACAGCCTCATCTTTCTTTGGCAGAGAGGCTGGTAGGTTTCCACTGCCAACCTTGCAGTTTAGTAGCCCAATGCTTAGCTCACCCGAAGATTAGTAATAATGACATTGGTTTCAGGTCATTTTGAGTCACAAGTTGGGTTTGTAATTGAAAGGTCAGCAGTTCAAATCTACTTTGCTCCATGGGAGAAAGATGAGGCTTTCTGCTCCAGTAAAGATTTACAGCTTCAGAAACACTATGTTGTTGTTAAGTGCTGTTGGGTCAGGTTCTGACCCATAGCGACCTTATATGAGGTTTCCAAGGAGCAGTTGGGGAGCTTGAACCGGCGACCTTGTAGTTCAGACAGACGGTTTTGCAGTCTGGTGCATTAACCCACAGCACCACACCAGGACTCCAGAAACCATATACAGGGTTGGAAATGAATGGCACACAGCCACCACCACCACCAAGGATGGAGAAACTGAGGCTCAGAGAGGTGTTTTTTTTTTGTCCTGGGCACAAGACATAAGGCATCAAAGGCTCGGCCAAGATTTAGCCTACGGCTCTAATTGTTCTAGAAATCTTGTCTGTGGGGCAAAGACAAGAAAAAGTTGCACACAAAAAAATTGGTGGAATAGGAAATGTTATGTCTAGTTCATAATTTAAAAATATTTTAAAAAAAACAAAGCGAGAGGCTGACAGAAGCGCAAACAGAAAGGAGGTACAAAACTGGACCAAACCATTGCCATTAAGTTGATTTAATGTGTTAGTTTCTTGGCACTTCTGGATAGGTGAGAACAACGCCCAATCTTTACTTTAGAAGGCAGGGAGGGGCACACCATTTTCAACACCCAGATAGCCATCAGAAAGGGACCGAGAGAAGCAAAGGCCCTAGGGAAAGTTAGAAACTGGAGACATGAAGTCCGACAAAGGACGGAAACCACGTAGCCAGTGTTGGGAAGGAAAGAAAATGAGGCACAGCTGGTGAGAAACCACACACAAGATGCTGTGAAGCTCAAGAGATCTTTTTTATTAAGCTAAGACCCTCTAGGAGGGCAGTTCAGATAGGAGCAGGGGCTCCTGCTGGTGTTGGGGAAATAGGGTACAGAGCAGGCGTGAAGTCCACCAAGCAGTGTGTCTGGACGTTCAATAATTCTCGTTGGACACAGCAGGGGTATTGGCACCCACTGCCCCTTGCACCTTCTCCACCAGGCTGGCCCACTGGCGCTGCATGTCTTCCACCAGGGGTTCGAACCAGCTCTTGAGGCGGGCCTGGAAGGCCTCCGCTTGCAGGCGCATCTGGGCGGCCTGCTCCTCCACCTTGACACGCACTTCTTCTACTTGCTCGCGCACCTCATCCAGGCGGTCGCGGGCCCGGTTGCCCACCTCCTCCAGCCGTCCGCGCAACTGCTGACCCCAGGCCTCAGCGCGCTCTCGCAGGGGCTGGCTGGCCAGGGTGCCCACGGTGGCGGCCCGCTGGCGGCCCTTCTCAAGGAGAGGCACAAGACGCTCACGCAAGGCGCTCACACTGCGCTCGGCACCCTCGCGGGCCCCGGCCTGGTACACTGCCAAGCGCTTCTGAAGGTCCTCGGCGTCGCGGAGCAGCCGTTTGCGCAGCTTGCGGAGGTGAGAGGAGAGGCGGGCGCGTAGCTCCTCGGCGTTTTGGCCCAGCATGGCTTGCGCCTCACTGCGGTACTGTGCCAGGCGGTTGCGCACATCCTCCATATCTGCTCCCAGCCGCGCCTGCGCTGCCTGCAGCTCTTTGGACACGCGGGCCTGTGTCTGCTCCGCCAAAGGGCCCAGTTGGGTTTCCAACTCCAGCTTGTAGGCCGACACCTCTTTCATAGTCTCATCCATCAGCACCCTGAGGGCCAAGGGGACAGGAAAGGCTGAGACAGAGGTGGGCTTGTGGAGAGAAAAATAGGAGGAAAGACCTCCTGGCAGGGTTGAGCAAGACTTGTGGAAACAGAATCCCCCAAAAGAGACAGAAAGAGTGGAGAAATAGAGAGTAAGAACTATGAAGGAAGGATAGAGATAAGAACAGAGCTAGTGTTTTGTTTGTTACAATGGAGTGGTCAGACTCTCTTGGAGATGCCAAATGTTGCAGAGCAAAACTGCCCCATAGGATTTTTAAAATCTTTAACAGATTGCAGTCGCCTCCAGGTGGGTTTGCTGGTACTCCAGCACTTAGCCGTTTGCGCCACCTAGGGACTCCTTGGAAAGAGTGTGAGAGACAAAGATGGCAGACACCAGAGAGACTGGGAGACCCGTAGGGCTGGGACCAGGTGGGCACTCACGTCAGCTCCTGGGTGACCTGAGCAGTACGTAGTTCCTCCTGAACTTCGTCAGACAGCGTCTGTATCCAGCGCAAGTAGTCCCAGAAACGACCCAGCGCCTGCTCCCAGGGCTGGCTGCCCAGCTCCTCAGGCAGCTTCTGACCCAGCTGCAAGTCCGACTCTAGCTCCAAGTTGGCCTGGCATCCTGCAGGGAGAAAACTCCCAGCTGGTTAGGACTCTTCTGCTCCTCCAGGTACCATCTAGTATCAGTAACCCCAAAACCAAACCCACTGCCATGGGGTTGATGTGGACTCAGGGACTCAAAGTAACTCTTTACAGGAGCAGGTAACCTCAACGTTCTTCCATTAGAGTGGCTGGTGGATTTGAACTGCTAGCCTTGTGGTTAGCAGTCTAGTGCTTAACCCACGGTGCCACCATGGCTCCTTAGTGGGCAATAGGTGCTCCACAAATGCTCAGGGGCCTCTTTGGAGCAGTGGTGGGTAAGGAAGGAGTAGAAAAAAACATCCCATCTGTTTCATTACTGGACAAGCATTTACGGAACGTCTGGACCACACCACACTGAAGGGGATGGAAGCTGAGAATTATCATCTCAGTGAGTGATTATTTCAGAGTCCTGCTGTGGCATTGTGAGTTAATGCGCTGGACTGCAAGGTCAGTGGTTCAAGCTCCTCGCTCCTCGGAAACCCTAGACAGGGTCACTATGAGTTGGTACCAACTCAATGGCGCTTATCAGCAACAATCTAAGTGAAGTCCTGATGTGGGGCTGGACTGCTAATCCCAAGGTTGGAGGTTCAAACCCACCTGCCAATTCTTGGAGACCCTGTACAGGGTCACTATGAGTTGGAACCAACTCGACAGCATTACAACAAAACAAGTGATAGGAAAGTGGTAAAACAAGGCAGCCCACTGAGTTCCGGCTCTTACAGGTTTCATCCTATTAAATTGTCCTGACAACTTGCTATGCGGTAGAAATTGTCAGAGCTTCCATTTTAAGGAGGAGAGAAACCAAGGCCTGGAGAGATGAAAGGAGCTGCTCAAACCCAGTGAACGTCCAAGGAGCTCAGGCCCTGGGCTATCAAGGGAGAGACACACTTAGCAGAGAAAGACGGGGTCCTGGGGAATGGGGAGGAGGGGCAGGAAACCACAGCGAGTCCCACTCCTATACCTGCCAGGAGGGATACCAACAGCACGGCCCACAGGGTCTTCATCTTCGGGGCGGCGGCGATAGGTCTAGAGAAGGAGAGCCAAGTCCATTAATGGCTCGGGTCCAGAGTCTTGCCTGCCCCTTGGACCCAAATTTGCCACAGCCTAATCCAATCACAAACACACTGCCTGGCCCCTCCATTGTCTAGGTTAAGTGCTCCATTGTCTTCCCCTAGCTTCCCATCCCAGTCTGTGGTCAGTAGCCAAAATTCCATCGCCCTCCCTCTCCCAGGGTTCAAATTCCACCCGCTCCCAGCCTCATCCCCCTCCCCCCCAACCCTGGGTTCCATCCCAGTTCCAACTGGGCTTTCTAAATTCCACGTTCACGTTCCTCAGAGCCTTCATCCGCACATCTCCAACCTCACGTCCCCGTAATCTTCCCACATGTGAATTCATTGAATCCTGATTTATAAATCCTCCTGCAGATCCAGCAGCTAGCCACCCTACCCACCCGCCACCAATTTGAGGATGGGCCACACAGTAGGTGTGCAACAGTGACAGTTTGTGGGAACTAGCTACGGTTCCTCTCCTAGTTTTGCCTACGGGCTCATTTGCTTTCTTTCCCTCCTCCTCCACCACCTTCAGGCCTCACCCCCAGATGCCGTTTGCATTCTGACCCAGGCATAAGACAGTCACTCTTCTCTGCCCGAGTCTGTAAAGTCCACCCCACACCCCCCAAGCTTGCTAGAACTTTCTTGACTCTCCTCCGGTTGGTCCCAAACACTGCTTTGCCTGGAGACTGGGGTTCTTAGGGTCCCTGGACACCCACTTCCTGAGGTCCCTGAATTGGTGGTCGCTGTGCCCCCTGACCCTGCTTCTCACCAAAGGACGTCCTTCACCTCCGCTCGTGCTGGGTAGGACTCGGGGATACCAGACTCGTCCAATTATAGGGCTCCCCCCCTGCCCCGCCCCTCCCCCTGGGCCAGCCCCTAGTCACGAGGTGGGCTGTACCCACCCACCCCACCCCACTCCCGCAGGGAGGGCGGAGTTAGGAGGTGGGTCTTGGAAGCCCTGTGGCTTGTGGTCTCCCAGTCGCCCTCCCCCCATGGGAGGTGACACTTTACCCAGTAACCCTGGCCTGGCTCTCTCCCCCATTCTGGGGGGCTGGACGTGGAAGGCGTCCAAGTAACAGCACCCGTTCCGCCTCCTGCGTGGATGAATAAAATTGGGGGTGGGTGTTGGTGGGGCATGGACTTTTATACCCTGGAGGGAAAAGGGGACTGGGGACTTGAATTTCTGAAGGAATTGGGGACCTGTGCTCCTGGGTTTGAGGGAATTGGAGTCTGAACTCTTGGATGTGAGGGAGGAGGTGTCTATGGTCCTGGATTTTGAATTTCTGGGTCTGAATGAGGAGGGGGCTGGGGACTTAAAAGAGAGGAGAGGGCTGGAGTTTTGGACTTTTGGGTCTGAAGGAGGAGGGGTGTAAATGGAACGGGGCTGAGGCATCTGAACTCCTCTAACTTCAGAAAAGGGAAAGAGAATCAAGTTCAACAGCCCAAGGCAGAGAGGCCAGACAGGTCGCCACCCTCCAGTCTTGTAAACAATTCTGCAACCGCAGTCCCGTCCAGGACTCTTTCTGAGGGGTGCCATCATTACCCTAGTCATACAGAACTCAAGACAACACTCACCACTGTGAGGTTTAATAGGGAAGTACCGTACTGTAGCGGTTACGAATCTGGCTGCTAACTTCAGGGTCAGCAGTTTGAAACTACCAGCTGTTCCGCGGGAGAAAGATGAGGCTTTCTGCTCCCGTAAAGATTTACAGGCTTGGAAACCCTGTACTGGGTCGCTATGAGCCTCCACGGCACATAACAACAAATGTACTTAAAAGTCAGCTTGAATTGCAAGATCGGTAGTTCAAGCTCACCTCGGAAACCCTAAACAGGGTTGCTACGGGTCAGAACTGATTTGACGGCACTTAACGTGCAACTTGGGATCATTTTTCAGCCATATCCACAGGCAGGTCTCCTCCTCTACCCCTAAGTCTTGAAGGCACCGGACTCTCAACAGCTTCCACTCCTGCCCTCTTGAACATGAGGGGCTTCCTGAAACCTCTGTTAAGTGCCATCCTTGTATAGGGTTTCCAAGGAACAGCTGATGAGCTTGAACTGCCGACCTTGTGGTTCAAACCAGTGCATTAACCCACAGCGCCACGCCAGGACTCCTCTGTTAAGCCTAGCAGATGGCAAAAGTGACCAGTTCCATTTGAGGGTTCTCACCCCCACAAAAGTACCATATATCTTTGCATTGTTAGCAAGTCTCTCAATCCCCTGGTGGGCCAGTCAAGACCCCATTGCATTGCCAGGGGACTGGAGGCTTGGACCCAGACGGGAGGGCCTGAAGTTCTGGACTTCTGGATTGGAGGGAGCTGGGCACCTGGATTCCTGGGCCTGAAAAGGGGTGGGGGGTGATGGAGTCCAGGAGTCCAGGATCCGAGGGGGTTGGCTGGGGTCAAGACAAAATGCAATGGGAACAGGCGCAGTAAATCTTGATTTTAATTCCAGCCCCACCTCTGAGCTATCTTCTGTATCTGGAAGAGGAGCCAGGATATCTTCCAGCACAGTGGTGGAGTCCAAGAGCCTCCCACAGAAGTCCTTTTGGAAGGCTTTGGACTATGAAACCAAACAGTAGTACTTGGAGCCTGGCTCTTCCAGTAGTCAGCTGTGAGACGTTGGGCAAATGACCTAACTTCTCTGAGCATGTTTCATCTAAAAGCCCAGGGAATCAATTGCACCTAAAGTAGTTTCACCAGTAAGCTAAGGTACATATAAAGTACTATGTACAGTCCTGAGCTGTCAGCTTGGTAGGTAATACATTAGCACCAACTGCTGGGGTTGATCCCAGTCCGTAAACACTGTGGTCTTCCCAGTGCCATAAATCCTAGTTGTGTGACAAAGGCTGCCGTGAGTCCAGGTGAAAGGCAAAGCTGCACGGGAGGAAATGGACCTGGGACTCATTCCTGATTGATGGATGGGAACACTGTGTACCTTGGGGTCTAGGGGCCGAAGGCATGGGCCCCGGAACAGCCTCCAATGCTGTGCCCGCCTGTTTTGGCCTCAGAAGGGTTCTGCAGGGAGGGGGTTAGGCGGCTTGCTAGAATAATTAGGAGTCATTCTTCCCATGAAGCCTCCCTTTCTCGACTGCCGGGGGCGGGGCATTCTGGCTTCAGTTTCAGTAGAGGTGCAGGGCGGAGGCATTGCATTGTACCTGAAGTCAGGTTGACAAGATGCTGGTCTCCCTCTTCCCAAGCATCTGGCCCAGGGACCCGAGCCCCTTCCTCCTTTAGGACCCGACCACCCCCCCTCAGTAGTTCTCAGCTCCAAGCTTTGCCCATCACTTCAATCTTTCCTGATGCTTCTGAAAACTCCACATTGCTATCAAAGTTGAAACACCCATCATGACCCGCTCGCACCTTTTGGAATTGGGGCAGAGGGTGGCCTGTGGGGTCCCGGCTCCCCACCCCTACCCATGCACTCCTGCCTTCTCGGAAGTTTCTTCAGTAAATGAGGGCAGTCTTCAGCCACCCTGGTCTCATCAAGCTGAAGTAAAGGACCGGAGATCCGGCCTCCAGCTGAGGGCAAACCAGTAATGTCCACTTAGGCGGCGGGAATCACAGGGAGCCCTTGTGATTTCAGGCCAACACTTCCCCTCAGAGGTAGGGGTGGCTGTGGCCACTGAGCTGGCGTGACCTGAGCCGAGCTTCTTCTCCTAGAACCCCCTCTACTGGCAGCTCATGGGAAAGGCAGGCACGCAGTGGGGTCAAAGGAAGGAGGCCGGGGAATCCCCAGGCATTCATACAGGATATCGGAGGCGCCCGTCTCACTTTTTTTTCTCCATGTATATTTTTTGTTTTTTTTCTGTAAAATGTCCCGGTTCTTCCATAACTTATAAACATGATTTATACCGAGGGGTGGGTGGGAGAAGGGATGAGCAGGCTGACCCAGTGTGGGAAGCTCCTCTTCTTGCGGACCCCTGGGATGCGGGCTGGGCCCAGGGCCCTTGGGGGGTGGGATGGGCAATGGATGCCCTGACACTCCTCCCTGAGGTCATCTGGCCACCTCTGCCCCTGGAGCTCAGAAACCCGAGTGCCCCTGGATTCCCAGAATTCTCTGAGACCCCAAACCCTGCCCTCTGGGTGGGTGCTCAGTCCCAGTACCCCTCGGTTCAACAATCCCCTCAACCACTGCAAGGGCGATGGGTCCCCTCTTTCACCTGCCCCCCTTGCCTCCAATGAGGCAGGAAAGGGAGGGAGAGGGGGGCTCCCCTCCAAGGCCGGGGAGGAAAGTGGGGTCTGAAGAAGGGCGTGGAAGGCGGGCTGGGAGGGGCTTCAACCAATGGTGAGGCCGAAGCCACACTGGAACTTGTTTTTGCGGTGATTCAGGAAGGCCCCCAGCGCCAGAGTCAGGGGCAGTGGCGGAAGCTTCTTCTCCAGCGTAGCGCCCACGATCCAGTTGCTGTCCACAGAGCCTGTGAGTAGAAGGCCAAAAGCGGGGTATGTGGGGATCCCTATGGGTCGCTGTATCTTCACATTCCAGGCCATCAGACCCCAGTCAGGCTGACTGCCTGGAGACCCTATGTGCGCAGGCACGCCCACCCCCAGTTGTAGCCGGCCCACTACTCTTCCACCTCAGTAGTGACCCCCTAGGACTCCTGACAGTCCACACTGGGCCCCCCTGCCCTAGCCAAGGTCACCCAGGAGGTGGTTCTGAGGCCCGGCCAATCCTGAGCAGGCCTCTGGGGTCCTCACAGGCAGGCCTGGGTCCACCGGGACCCATGGGAGCCTCCGTCTCTCTCATGGGAAACAGCTGGAGGAGGGCTGCAGGCAGTGGGCGGGACAGGACTGTGTAGTGGGCAGTTGGCAGAGGCAGGGCCCAGACATGCCCACTGGCTGCCCTCCACCCTGAATGAGGTTCACACAGGAGTGCCGGACACTGCTCTGCACCCCTCCCCTGGGCTCCGTGGTCACTCGGCAGGGAACCCGAAGCCTCTACCTTTGAAGAGGAGATTGGCCTTGGGCAGGTCCAGCTGGTACCCGAAGGAGACACTCGTGTCCTGCATCCTCGTGCTGGCCTCAAACTCCACACCCACTTGTAACTGAGGGGCAGGAAATGGTTACCATCCATCAGGGAGCCAGAGTACCTCACAGCCCGGCACTCCCCTGCCCCACCCCGCACTCACCTGGTCACTGGCTTTGTGGTAGTATGTTGCGTGCATACCAGCCTGGCCCAGTGTCACTGTGGCTAACCAGTTGTTCACTGTGAGAGTAGGGGCGCGGAGCAGGTTACCAAGGGACTTGGGGGGCTATGCCACCAGTTCTCTCCTCAGACCCAAGGAGGCCAGGCCCCAACCCCCTCCTCCCTCAGACCCCAAGGTCCCCAGCTCACATGTGTATTTCCCAGCTAGAGACACGACTGTGCCCTCCTCCCCTGGCCGCCGGTGGTAGACCAGCTCTCCACCCAGGGCCAGACAGGGTGTGATGCTCTGGAGGTAATGGGCCACGAGGATACCTGCAAGGGAGGGGAGGGCAGCAGCTTTATCCTGGCTGGGTGGTCAGTGTCCACCCAGCAGGGGTCGGGGTGGGTGCCCTCCCTCCTCCTGCCAGGATGCTTCAGGAAGCTTTCCTGGCTTGCCTACAACTGGCAGGCTCAGGCCAGGCTCTGGCTGGCCCCACAGGGACCTCACTGTGACACCATCGACAGAGACGGTCACTCACCCGGGGTCCCACCAGGTGTCAGGGGCAGACTCCAGGCCTGTACGCCTCCCACGCCCAGGCTCGGAACCACTCTGCCGCTGCGAGAGGCAGGAGAGTAGGGTTGTTATGAGCACAGCCTGGGGCTGCACAGGGAGCAGCGTTCAAATCCAGCCCCATTACTGGGCACTGGAATGACCATGGGGTACTGTGGACCTTGTGTTTGGTGTCCACAGGACAACCTTTGGGGGGGGCAATGAATACTAAACGCGGGGCTATCACCAGCATACAGGCTGGGTCCGGTCCCTCCCAGCCTGTGTACACATTTGTGAACCAAATGCATGTCCACCATGGGGCAGAGCTCCCAAGTCTTCGAAGTGGAGGAGAGTGGAGCCCACCAGGCAGTTTTATAGAAGTAGAACCAGGCGAGAGGAAGTGGGTCCATCAAGTAGGACAGACACATCCAGATCAGGAAAGGAGGCAGAGTGGCACAGAAGACTCCCCGGGGGAGAAACACACCAGATGGAAACCTCACCCAGCCAGAGAGGAAGTGGCATGGACGTGTCAGCACTGGAAGACGCTCCCCAGAATAATGAGATGGACCACACAGATGGACAAGCTAAGGGACATCCGCACTGGAAAGCAGCCCCCATGATGGGCCTGAGGCTGGCAGGATCTCTCAGTGAGGTACTGATGGGGTTCCCAGTGACAGATCAGCGGGGGACTGGGTCCCAGTGGGCTCCCGAGTGCCAGCTGTGGCTCTAACTGGTAACTGATACAAATCGGTCCTGATGCCCTTACCATACACTTAGTTGAGGGGGACACAGAGGCCCACCAAGGGGAAGAAGCTGGGGAAAGCCACATAGATTCACAGCTCTGCTAACCACTGGAACCTCCTGGCCACCCTCAAACATCTCCCCTCCTCCGGGTCTCTGTTCTAGGCTGCCTTGGCTGCCCCGTGCCCTGGGAGATGATCCAGCTCCTCACAGCACAGCTGCAGGTCCCTGTGAGACTGAGCCCCGACTTCCAACCTGAGCAGCTCGCCCTCCCCACAGTCACACTGCAGAAGCCAACCTGCCGACTCACACCGGCACCTCACTCTTTCCTGCACCTGGCTCATTCCCCCAGCACACCCTAGCGGTCTTTCTTCTCCCACACCGGCACCTCACTCTTTCCTGCACCTGGCTCATTCCCCCAGCACACCCTAGCGGTCTTTCTTCTCCCACTCGGGAGCCCCCCCTTCAGGTAACAAGACAGCAGCCACAGGAGTCTGCGGGTGCCCCAGGCAGCGTACAGCCTCCTCTGGGGTCCCTTTCGCTGGGCACCACCCTATGTTGCTGTTTTGTCAGCATGTTCCCTCCGAGCTACCTCCTTGCTGTTGTTCCAGGCACGGCCCAGCCCCTACCAGGCTCCGGGTATTTCCTGGCACGCCACCACCTGCCCTCGACAGCGAGCTCCATGGGGGCAGCTTTATTAGACCAACGAGGCTCAGCTGGGGCGAGTTTGCTCCTCAGCATGCACACGGTAAGATCTGCAGCCATCCAGACTGCGAGGGAATGCCACAGGCATCTAGTGGGTGTGTGAGTCCAGGGACAGTGCTCCACACGTCACAGGGCAGCCACCTGCACGAAGAGGGATCTGGCGCCCATGGTCAAGTGTCCAGGTCGAGAAACCCTGTACACTTCTAGTGTTTGAAACAGAAGCAGGCAGATGGTGTTGTAAAATGCTGGCGACGCCATGTACATCAGAACAAACACCATGCCATCTTCACAGCCGATGCAGAGCTGCAGCCACTGTGTCAATGCATCGTGAATCCATCTTGTATACCGACCCTCTTCTTTACCAAGCATGAGGCCCCTTCCTTCTGCAGGGACTCCTCATTCCTGACACTACGTCCATGCTCGTGAGACCAAGTCTACGGTGGATTCTGGCTGTACTGCTTCCAAGACAGCTTTGGGGGTTCTCCTGGGACTTTTTAGTATTCTTCACCAACACCCTAACTTAAACAAACTCATTTTTCTCCGATCTTCCCGATTCCCAACAACTTACAGATAACACTGCAAAGAACGGGTGTTCCGGAACACTTCCTCATGCTCATGCAGAACCTGCACACAGACCAAAAGGCTGTTGTTCCAAGAGAGCAAGGGGATACTGAAGGGGCTGAAATCAGGAAGGTGGGCGCCAGGGTTGTATGTTTTCTCCATACTCATAAGCCTGTAAGCATGTAATTCACAAAACGGAAGAATGCAGTATCAGGACTGGAGAAAAGCTCATAAACAACAGATGACACAGCCTTGCTTACTAAAAGCAAAAAGAACTTGAACTACTTAACTGATGAAGATCCAAAACCACAACCTTCAGGATGGATTGCATCTCGGGAACAGAACACAAACATCCTCAAACAGGACCAATAAGCAACATCAGGAGACGGACGCTGTGAAGGGTTTCATCATCAGTGCTCACGGAAGCAGCAGTCAAGCAAGCAAACAAGATACTGCACTGGGCAAATCTGCTACACGAGATTTCTTTAAAGTGCTCAAGAGCGCAGGTATCACTTTGAGGACCGAGGTACCAATCATCTCATGTAGCATGTGAGTGCTGAGCAGGTGACGGATGTGTCCTATGGACAAGGAATGAGCACAGCCTCCCCATCACAAGGGGCCACGGAGGTTCAAAGCACTTCAAAGAAGCAAGCGGAGAGGTTAGGTCTGAGAGGTGAGGGGAAGGCCCTTGGCACAGGGAGGAGACAGACCTGGGAAAGGAGGCTCCCCTCTCCAAACCTGGGCCAGGCTGGGAAGGTAGCCACACCCTCGGCCTGCTAGGTGGCTTGGAGAAGTCCCCAGGGGCTGCAAATGCTTCATTCCTTGCCTCAGCCAGCAGCCTTCATCCTCTCCCCTGCCTTCTAAGATCACACCCGGGATCCAGAACCCCACAGACAACCTCTCTCTGCTACTAGGCCCTACAGCCACCTCAGGCTCCCCCGGGAGGCAGCTTCATCACAGCATTGAGCTGGGATTATTTGCTTCAAGGCCAATGTCTCTCTCCCCCAGGCCTGGAGCCACTCAAGGACAGGAGTGGGCAGTCTGGGTCACAGCCATGTGGCCTAGGGCTGGGTACACTAGGTGCTCAGAGTGGAGGCCGGAAAGGAACAGAACCTCTGGGAAGGGTCTGGGTTCAAACAGGTTTTTTGAGTTAGGTTTCAGTTCAAATTCCAGCCCTAGTGCCTGTAAGCTGTGTGATCCTATGTCAAACTTCACCCCTGGGTCTCAATCTCCCCATCTCTAAAACGGGGGGGGGGCAATAAAACCACAAACACCACCTAACCAATGGGTGGTGCCATGAAAATCCAGGTAGAAAGTTCTAACCCCCTTGTAACAGAAGAGGACCTGAGGTCCACAGTAGGCGGGGCCACAGCCTGAAGTCCAAGAGCTGGCCGGGGTGGAGTCTGAGCAGAGAGCGCTAAGGTAGTGTCGCACAGACTCAGGTGCTGTTTGTGTCTGAGAGGAGAGACCTGTAAGAACTCAGACATGAGGCAGACAGGGGTGATTAACCAGGACAAGGTCAGTGAAGAGGTCTGGAGTAAGGTGCCTCCTGCCAGCACGGAGAGCCTACTGAGAAGGTTCACTGAGGCACTGTGCTCGGTCTGTCCTGAGCTTGGCCTGGGGAAGGAAGGAATGCCACACACATGCTCTCCATGACCATCACCCGTGCCTTAGCAGAATAAGCAACCTCTGAGCTCCTAGTCTATTCCCAACACCATTCCAGACAGTGGGGTTTAAGGAAGCCCTCAGAGAGCTGGCACCCCAGTGAGGAGATGGGAGAACAAACCAAGTGTGGTCACTTTCCTCCAGAAGGTCTCACTGAGGGACCACAGGGAACAGCTCTGCGGCAGACAGCATGTTCAAAGGTCCTGAGGTAGATAGAACTTGGTAATTCCAGGAAGCACAGGAAAAGCTCCCACAGGCCAGCTGACCTGGTCCTGGTGAACAGCTGAGTGCTGACATCAGCACAGGGGGCAACCATCAGATCACACCTCTCCCAGCTCAGGACGACCCCAAAGCCCTTCCTTAATTGAGGGAAGCTCTCTGAGGCAGCCCTGTCCTAGACTTCCTCCTTCCTCATCAGCTGTTGGGGAAGAGCCAGTGATGCCCCCAGCAATCAGCAGGGGGCAGCAATGTTCTGGAGTGGCTCCCAGGCCTCTCCTTACAGGGCCTGGGCCTCTGCAGGTGCAGCCCCACCTGGGAGCCTGTCCTGGCCAGGACCCTGTGGGCCAGTACCCGCATCTCTCCTGGCCCTGCTCCAACCGCTGCCCCGAGAATACTGCTGTTCTGTGTTACATACCGATTGGTGTTCCCCTCACGTGCACACGAACAGTGGCCGAGAAGGAAGACCAAAGAACTGATACATGTGAATTACGGTGCTTACAAACAATACCGACTATACCACGGACCACCAAAAGAATGAACAGAAACCTCTATGTTGGAGGAAGTGCAGCCAGAATATTCCTTAGGAGCCAGAATGGTGAGTTTTTGCCTCTCATACTTTGGAAGGAACAGTCCTTAGAGGGCATCATACTTGGGAAAGTGAAGAGTTGGTGAAAAAGAAGAAAATCCTTCAAGAAATAGACTGGCACACTGGCAGCAACAGAAGGATCAAACATAAAATTGCGAAGATGGCTCAGGAGCAGCCCGTGTTCTGTTCTGTCGTACATGGAATGGCTGAGTCTGAATCAACTCAACGGTGCCTAACAAAATTGTGCTGGAATCCTAGCCCCTGTACCTGTGGATAGGAGACCCTAGGTGGCACAAATGGTTAAACGCTGGACTCCTAGTTGAAAGGTTGATGGTTTGAGTCCACTCAGAGGCACCTCAGGAACAGGCGTGGTGATCTGTCTCTGAGAGGTCACAGGCACAGGGCAGTGGTAGTCCACTCTGCGAGGGGGATCATGGAAGGCTGCGATTCCATTTGGGAAGTGGCATGTACATGTGTTCTGTGAACAAGGGGACTTTAGCTACAAAAGCAGTGAGGTGGGTCTGAGAGGCACAGGGCTGACACACACACCTGAGAAAGACGAGGCCAGATTGGGGCCGGGGGTACAGTCGCCTTGACCACTTTTGAGAAGGAAGAAAAACTGATTAAGCACAACAAGCCAGTAAGCAGGAATTGGGGGACAGGGGCAAGGAGAGGAGCTGAGGTAAGGATGTTGCTCCAGGAGACAGGGAGGATGCCTTTCCCTAGACCCAGTGCCCTGAAGTCAGCTTCCTGAAAGGGAGAGCAGACACTAGTGACAGCCACCTGTGATGCAATTTGTCACAGTGGTGCAGGAGAACTGAGCCTCACTCCTCTTTATCAGCCAGGGGAGTCCCCACTGGCTGCTTTTTACAGCTCCCAGGTGCCAACTTCTCTGGGAAGGCCCCGTCCCCACCCCCAGCCTCCCTGACTGGGATGGAGTCAGCAGCTGTGGGGCAGATCATGACAGCTCCAACCTCCAGGAGCACACCCTCCATATCCCACCAGCCAGCAACCCACAACCAGACCCCAAGCCCTTCGTCTCCTCCTCTGCCTCCCAGGGAAGCCCTTGGGGGTCTGGTCTCCAAAGGCCAGTTCAGGGGATCCTGTGAGGTAGCACGTCAGACCCTCGTCTCCCCTGCTCAAAATCCTTCTAGAATGTCTGGGCAAATGAGAGCTCTGTGTGTTAAATGCTAGGTGGCTAATTGCAAGGTTGATAGTTCAAACCCACCAGCCTCTCTTAAGGAGAAAAGATGAAACTGTCTACTCCATATTTGTTGTTGTTGTTAAGTGCCGTCAAGTCAGCTCCGACCCATAGCGACCCTGTAAAGAGTTTCCGAGGAGTGAAGCGCCGACCTTGCAGTTCAAACAGCTTTGCACTCTGACGCATCAACCCACAGCGCCACACCAGGACTCTACTCTGTATTTACCGCCTTGGAAACCTTCAGAAGCAGTTCTAGTCCTTCCTATAGAGTCGCTGTGAGTTGGAATCAACACGAAGGCAGTGGGTTTTAAGGGTCCTGGTGAGGATCTGTAGGATAAGCACTGGATTGCTGACCATAAAGTTGGTGGTTCAACCCACCAGCCACTCCTTAGAAACCCTATACAGGATCGCTATGAGTCAGAATCTACTCAATGGCACTTTATAACTAGGCCCTCTGCAAAGTGGTCCTGTCTCTTCTCACCTAGATCACCTTTTGCAGCCACACTGTCTCCTTCATGTCCCAGGAACTAGATGCTGCCTCAGGCCCTTTGCACTTGCAGCTCCTTCTGGCTGGAAGGCAGGATTCCTACCCTCTGCTCTGTCTCTCAGAACTTTACCCTGATTCCTAGGGCAGTTCAACAGTGGGTTTGATAGGCACTGGGGTGCACTGTTGAATCCACTGTGTGAACGTGAACACACACACTCACACACACACACACACGTAGTATGTGCTCAAAAAATCCTCTTGGGATGAATGCAGAGAAATCACAGACAGACACTGAGACACCCTAAGGGAAGGGAGAGACTAAAACAGAGGGATAGACCGAAGGCAGATGGTGTCTGCTCCCACCTGACCCCACCAGGACTGATCCATGTCAGCCCCCCTTCATACATCCTTCCCCCACAACCTCACTCCCAACCAGAGCCCCGTGAGGAACAAAAACTTGAGCAGCCCACAGGGCCCTGATTCCCGCCCCAGGCCCGCTTCCTGTGAAGCGCTTCCCAGTTATTAACTCCGAGAAGCTCCATAGCCACGCTGTGTGGGCCAGCCATTTCCAGTAGGAACAGGTCCAGAGAGGCGGAAGCTGCCGCCACCACACCTAGACAGGCACGGAGCCTGGTGTGAACATGTGCTCGCCCCTGCTAGGCGGGGTCAGCAGCCCTTACCTGAGCCCACGAGGACGTCTGGGTTCCCAAGGGTGACAGCGGCAGTGAAGTCGGAACCCCGGTATTCCCCGTCCACCTGCCAGTTCACGAACTTTGACTGCTGAGTCTGTGGGGAACCCAGGCATGTGTGAGGGCCACCACTGAGCCCCAGGGCTGGGGGTGCAGCTGGGGGAGAGAGGGCCCTCTCACCTGGATGGCCATCTTGGACCTAAGGCCGGGGCCCAGTTGGTGGATGAGCTGTGCGTTGAGGCTGCCACTGTTGTCCATGTCACCCACCAGCACGGGGAAGGCCTGGGGGCAGGGGCAGAAGCAGGGCCAGCGTCAGGACAGGACAAGGGCGGGCGAGAAAGCTTCACTTTAGGGCCCCTCCCTCCAAGGAGCCCTGGTGGCGCAGTGGGTAATGCACTGGGTGCGTGCAAGGCCAACAGTTTGAATCTACCAGCTGCTCTCACGAAGATTTACAGCCACGGAAAGATTTACAGAGCTGCCAGGGGTCAGAGCTGGCTTGATGGCATACCACCAACTCCAGGAAGCCCTCCCAGACCATGTGGACTGCATAGGCTATCCTCCTAGGCCCCAAGACTCGTAGTGACGCTCGAGAGCAGAGTCAAACCGCCCCAAAGGGTTTCTGAGGCTGCAATCCTTACAGGAATCTCGTTCTCCTGTGGAGCTGCTGCTGGGGTTCAAACCACCAGACCTATTGGTTCCCAACGGAGCACTTAAACCATTGCACCACCAGGGTTCCTCCCACAGCCTCTAGGCTCCCATTTCAGCACCCTCCCCCCAATGGATGATGACACCAGGGCCAGGCACACACTAGACACAAGGAAGGTTTGTTGAATAAATGAACCTAAAGGGAAAGACATACAGTTGCCACTGCGTCCACCCCATGTGCGCTCCATAGGGTTTGGCTGGCCTTACAGGTCTGTCTCCCAGGGTCCTCTGTGTCTCTCCTAACTACGTCCTGCTCCAGTCTCTTTCTAGGCCCCCACTTCTGCCTGTCCCCCTCCAATCTAGTCCCGCGAGATGTTTCTAAGGCACTGACATCTTTCCTCCTCAGATCTTCCCAGGTTGCCTAGTGACCTCCAGACAAAGTCCAGCTATCTAGTTTAGCATTTGGAGCTCCAGTACGCTGCAGCCAGCCCTGCCCACTTGGGCTCACCACTGACAGGAATAGGAGAGTTGTTGTGTAAACACCCCACACACACAGAGACTCCAGCTCTGGCCTTCTCTTAAGGCTACATGTAGTTTGTTTACAAAAACAATGAATGAATGACAAAAAAAATCTCACCTCTGTGGGACTCAGCTGCTTGGTTCCCACATACGTAACCCCAAAGTGGTAGTTGGATTCCCCGACTGTGCTGAGGGCTACCGTGTGGTTGACCTGGGTGAAGAGGGAGGGCTGTAAGCTGGAGACTCGGAACCATCTCCACAGCTCCAGCTGGGCCCACTGCTACCAGCCCCTGCCCTGGTCCAACCAGGCTGTAGACTTCAAGGAGAGGCCCGACTGGATGAAAAACTCAAGGGAAACAGTGCACAGGGAGGCACTTCAGTCCTGCCTGGATATTACAGGGGTGGACGAGGTTGTGTGTCTTTCTGGGTTCTTGGTTCTAAAATACTACCATCAGCCCCCACTAAGCAGTTGGCCTCAAGTCAATGATGGGTCTTTTCACCCTTTTGGGAAGAGGAAGAGGGCTGTCAAAGCAGATGCAGGGGGCTAGCTGGGATGACCTCTGACTCACCTGGAAGTGGTTACTCAACCCTTTGTTGACTGTGAGTTTGACACCCTCCATCTGGATGGGAAACAGTTCTGGAGAAGAGAAATGTTGCCACACTCCCCTACCGGTTTCCAGAAACCCACTCACATCCCACGCTCGCCAGCTCCCCCTTTCCAGGAACCCAGAGGAGCAGCCCACCCGCCGGTGGAGAGGCAGTCTAGCCTAGTATGCAGAGCCAGGCGAAATCACCGTCTCTCTGTGCACCTCAAACCCATGTGTAAGGTGAGGGTGCACCTTAAATCAACAGAGTAAAGGCTGCTGAGACGTGCTCAATCAGTCGTCACAAGCAGGATTACAGTAAATCTTCCATATCAAGATCCGGAAGCCTTGGGTGCCGCCCCCATCATGACACCTGGTTAACATGGTGACCTTGGGCCTCAGTTCCCTCCCAAGCCCCACGAGGAGGCTGGCTGGGCGTCTAAGGCTTTCCCCCTACAGCCCTGGCTGGCATTCCACACCAAGTTCCACCATCTGATCCCAGCGTTCGACGCGCCAAACCCAGTGATCCGCCATGCGATCCCAACGTCAGCCCCTAACACTCGGTTCAACAATTTCCGTGCCTCACACTCATTCCCCAGGGATCCCCCGTTGCTCCCCAAGATCCAGGGCCACCCCCGCCCCCCGAGGCCCTCTCCCCTCACCCTTGCACTTCCGGTGGCACTCCTCGAACGTGCCCGGATTGGGCAGGCAGCCGCAGGCCCCATCGTCCGCGGTCCCTCCGGCTCCAGCGGCTCCGGGGGTCCGTTCTGAGGCTCGCCCCGCGCTGGCCCCGGCGCCCAGGCCGCCTCCGAGGGGCGGCAATGTGAAACCCGGAGGCGCGGGCGGAGGCGGCGGCAATCCCACGAGGGCGGGCGCAGGCGGTGGCGGCGGCCCAGCGGGTGGCGAACTGGCGGCCAACACGTTCCCCATGGTCGCCTGCGGGGGGAGAGGTCAGAGGCCGGAGGTCAGGGCCCGCGCGCCACGGGCCCAGTCCTCAGCGAACCCCCACCCAGCTGTTAGCCCCGGTTCTCACTGCCGGCGGCGGCAGAAGCGCCTGCTCCCCGCCTGGGCTCCGCTCCCACCCCGTGCGCCACGCGCAACCGAACCCACTGCCGCCGCCGCACCGTAACTCCGCCCCACGCAGCCCATTGGTTCATTACACCCTGAGGTCCGCCCAGCAGGTCCAGGATCTAGCCTTGTTATTGGAGTCATGGCAGAGAGTCCCACCCACCTTTTCCGAACATAATTTTCTAATGGTCCGTGCACTTAGGCAAGGCACAGCACACCTCCCTTCTTTTCCTATTGGCTCTGGACACCTCAGCTTATTGGTTAGCGACGCCGCGGGTTCCGGTGCTCTCCCGCTATTGGCCTGTGCTGCACACTTTGCAACGCCTACTGACATGCTGGCCCGGCCCCTTTCCCCCGAAAGCGGCCTTCCTTTAGCTCCGCCCTACGGTGAGGTTGCCATGATAATTGGTCGGTTTGGGACCTTGCAGCGTACTGATTGGCTTCAGCTGCCCAGGGGGCAGATCCGGACGACGTAATCAGGCAAGTACACTCATTGGCTAAAATGCCAGGGTTAAAGGACATGGGTAAAGGTAGGTTGCACGACAGAGCTGTTAGGCAGCAAGGTCAGGCCCCGCGTCCCACCAAGCACCGCGGCCGAAGGGCAGCACTCCGATCCAGAGTCGCCGACCGAAAACCGGAAGTGCCGGTTCTTCCCACAGTACCTTGGGAGAATTCTAGCTGGTGATGTGAACCCTTCCCCACTGCTCGTTACCCACAATGCTCTCTTACCTATTAACGCAAAAGCTGCCTTTGGCCCACCCCCTTTCTCTACCCAGCATGCCGTGTGTCATCCTGTCACTGCAGTTTCTATCTTTGGCTCATTCATTTCGGTCCCATTACCCATCATGCCTTGACACCATTCATTTTGGCTTGATTGCCCTTGGTGCCTTTGGACACTTCCTGCCTGTTCACTTACATTATTTTTCTGGCCCGTCTCCTTTAATTACCCATCATATTTTGCGTCTATTAATTCTTGTCCATTACCCATCATGCCCACGACCCCTATTTTTCCCATTATTCATCCTTCTGCCTTTGGTTCATTCATTCAGACCCATTACCCATCATGCCTTGAGCGCCTTTTGCAACATTATCATTTTGCCACTGGCCTATTCTTATCATTTATTCATCAACCCTAAGCCCATCTTCCTTAATTACTGCTATTTCTATTCTTGTTCTGTTTATTTCTGTTCATTACCCATTAGACCGTTGGGACACGGACTGGTTTTCATTACACACCATGCGCGGAGCTCCTTCCTTCCCCTCTCCCCCTCCAAGACTCAGAATTTATGCATTTGTGCAGATTACTTTCTCGCTTCGTTTCTTTTTCTTCTTCCCTTTATTTTTGGCCTTTCTGTTTCTAGCTGTAACTCATCTTGGTCTCTAGCCTCCCATTTTTCGTTATCTAGCCCTGAACCTCCTATGCGTTACCCACCATGCCCTTATCCTCTTCACATCCCACAGAATACATGAGACCTGGTCCAAGTATAAACTCATGTTAGTATACAAAACAGTATCAGGTCCCCTACCCCAACCAGGTGACCCACACTTTGCCCGAGGGGGATGTTTGGGTCCCCATTACACAGGGTAGGGATAAAAGGATTCAGTAGTCTTTAAGGTAACAGCAGATTCTTTCCCCAAGGCACACTGATGGATCTCATCCCATCTAGCCCTGCACCAGGGCACCATGCCCCCGGAAACAGGAATTGGGGTGGTGGGGGCTTAGGGAAGGGTCTGGACCCGGGACTCCTGCCCGCAGGAGAGAGGAGATGGGATGCCCTGCCTTGGGCTGGCAAACCCCTCTATCCCTGCCGCCTTCAGAGATCAGACAGTGGTATGGACGGGGAGGGGAGAGGAGAGGAGGAGGGTGGCGGTGTAACATGAGTGGGCTCTGCTGCTTGGAGGGCTCAGGTCTGAGCAGCAAGGAGACCCCACAGTCCACCCTGGCAGAGCTCTTGGGCGTTTCTGCCTGAAGATACAGCAGGGTATTCTTTGGGCTAGTGAAGGAGTTTGGAGAAGTTGGCAAGGAGAGAAGTATATTCTAAGATCACAGTTTTTAAGAAGAGGAGTCCATGGGTCAGAGTTTGAACAGAAATGTACTCCCAGGACATCAGGAGAGAAGGTTACCAGATTCCTTTCATCAAGGGAGGTTTCTCTGGGTCAGAGGCTATGAGTTAAAGGTCACAGAGGAGGCACCAAGAAAGGTAGAAGTCACAGATGAGGCTCAAGCATGTTAACTGACAGTGATCAGGCCAGACGCCAGGGGGCGCTAGATCCCAGACAAAAAGCTGAAGGCTCAGACGTACATGGCCCGGGACATAACAAAACCTTTGCCCTGGTAGGACTCAGAGGGCGTGGTGTAAGACAAGGCGTCATAAATAGGGTTGATCTTGTCCAGATAGTCTTCCTCCTCCTCCTCCTCTTCATCTTCTAGGTCTAGGGAGACCCCTTCCACAGCAGGTGACCCTGTGGGCCCCAGGATGGGGGGTCCTAGGCTCGGGGCCCCCAGGAGCAGACGTCCAGACCGCTCTTCCAAGGTGGGCAGCTCATGGTACCGAGGCATTTCCTGGGGACAAGGAGGGAGTGAGAGACTCAGGTCACCTCTTGAGCATGACACGGAGTCCCCAACTACCCTTTGAACCCAGAATCCTGGCCATCATTCCTATGCTAACCAGACCCCACCCTTTGTGGTTCCTTGTCCTTATCCCCAGGGTCAGTACTGCACTGGGACAGTCATGCATTTTATCCCTAACCCAGCCCAAGCATGGGCCTCATCCTGTCCACCTTGGGCTGTTCCGTTGTTTCGAGGTCTCTGACTCCAAGTCTTTCCCTCAAGAACTTCAGCCTCAATCTTGACTAGAATGACCTCATCTTGAGTCATAAATGGCCCCTTGAACCTGGAACTGTCTCAACCTGTTTTTGGCCCTGACCTCAAGTATACTACTGAAGAGAATATTTGTCCCACTGACTGTGTGACCTTTAAACTCTCACCTCCTGCCCTTAGACTTTTTCAGCCCTTACTTCCACCACTGCATCCTGAACTCCTTCCTCACTGTGTTTCTACTTCTAACCAAAGACGGAGCCCTGAGCTTAAGTCTAGGTTTTGATCTCTTATGTCAGAGCCTGACCCCTGACCCTTAAACCCTGATCCTGGGCCCACCTTGGTCTTGTCCCCAGGTTCCTACCTGATCAGCACACCCAACACCAGAATCGAAGTACGGGGTCTTGAGCGGGCTGTGTTCCGAAGCCCCCAGGGTGAAGAGCTGGGAGGGCTGTGGTGGAGAGAGAGGGGTAGGTCAGGGACCCCCACATACAGTGCGACTCTCCCCACCCAGCCCTGGCCATAGTTGGGAAAAGGAGAGTGGAGGCGGAAGGGTCTGGGCTCCAGGGGAAGTGCTTACCATCTCTTGCTCTTCCAGTTTTGCCTTTGGGGTTGGGGGCTTGTATGAGGGAGGGCCCTCCAAGCTGTGGAACAAAACATAGGTCAGGTGGAGGCCTTCTACTTCCAGGTCACATTTTTTTTTTTTAATGCATCAGCAATACAAAATGCAGTTGAACCAAGAGGTTCACTAGTTTTTGGAGAAAACATTTTGGTATACAAACCATGGTTACTTTTTGTTAATGTAAAAACAAACAAACAAACAAAGGTGCTTCCTTCCTTTTGACAATGCTTAGCAACAATTCTGGTGAAGAAAATAGAGTTCCCTCTCATCGAGCAAATAAAATATCACATAAGCTAATGTTTTCTTTAAATCATTCTATTACAGGTCAAGAGTCCTGGTGTGGTTCTATGGGTTACAGAGCCAGACTACAAAGCCGTTTGAACTGCAAGTTCGGTGGTTCAAGCTCACCAGCTGCTCTTCGGAAAACCCATACAGGGTTGCTATGGATCAGAATCGACTCGACAGCACTTAACAACAACATTACATGGGTCAGGGGAAAAGGATACAAAATGCAAGTTTGGGAGTGGATTTTGATGAAATTTTCCATAGGGTTCTGTTTTAAGTTAGTATAATGATAAACAAAGCAAGTGCAATTACCTATTTATATTAACTATCTCCAACAATGCTTTAAAGGCGCTCTGGTTTCATAGTGGTTACGAGTCGGGCTGCTAACCTCATGGATGGTCAGCTGTTCGAAACTACCAGCAGTTCCATGGGAGAACGATGAGGCTTTCTGCTCTGTGAAGATTTACAGCCTCGGAAACCTTGTACAGGGTTGCGATGAGTCGGAACCAATTCGACGACACATAACCATCACCACCACAATAATGCTTAAGAACCCTTTTAAAATAACAACAAAATACCCTCTTCCAAACACCAGGAGAAAGCCACACTAAACCACCATCAGCCTTAAAACTATTTCGGAAAAACTTATCTTTTCCCTTTGTGCTTTTAATATGCTGAATTCAAAAAAAGTAAATACTGCACTTTCCCCTCCCCCGACTCATAATTGTTGTTGTTAGGTGCCATCAAATCAGTACCGACTCATAGTGACCTTATGCACAGCAGAATGAAACACTGCCCAATCCTGGGACAACCTCACTATTATTGCCACGCTTGAGTTCATCCATGCTGCCACTTGGCCAATCCATCTCATTGGGGGTCTTCCCCTCTTTCTCTGACCCTCCACCTTACCAAACATGATATTCTTCTCCAGAGACTGGTCCCTCCTGACAATATGTCCGAAGTATGAGAGACGAAATTTGGCCATCTTGGTCTCCAAGGAGCATTCTGGCTGCACTTCTTCCAAACGAATCTATTGGTTCTTTTGGCTAACACCATAACTCAAAAGCATCAGTCAATTCTTCTATGGTCTTCCTTATTCACTGTCCAGCTTTCGCATGCATATGAGGTTATTGAAAATACCATGGCTTGGGTCAGGCGCACCTTAGTCCT